ATACTACCTGAATGTTATAGACTTAAAAGGAGGAGAGACAAGTATGGCAATCATGGCTCACATTAAAAAATCAAAGTGACAATGAAAGGGAAAAAAAAAGTTTAATAAAGAATACAAATTTATTACATGAAGACAGAACCTTTTTCCTTTCCTTTGTTTCACATCTTATAAGGCAAAAATAAATGTACTGCGATGAATAAGCCATACTCTTTTAATATTCTTAATTAACCACAATACAACAATTTAATGTGGTGACTATGAAAAATATGCTCTCAATCTGAGAAGGTTATCATTAAGATGTCATTGTGATGACTGATATAGTTCTTTACACATAATACTCATTTCTACTGCACTATTACAAAACATTTCTTCATAATTTAAAATCAAATGTAGTTATTACATTACCACTCAGTAAAAAACCAAAATCCTTTAGATGCTAAAACCTTTAGCAACTGTCACGCCAATACCACAAAATTATCTTTCTTTCAGTTGTCTGTTTCATTGGAAATGTATGGGAAAACTTTCTGAGACTTTAGCATTTAACACCAATATACATTACCTCTGGCTGTGTTCGTATAAGGTGCCACAAAGCAATAAGCTTAAAATCCTGATTCTGGAAAATGCTTACATACATGTACTTAAGCAAATTTTATGCAGAGTAGTATGCAAGCACATTATTATCTTTGAGAAAGATTTTATGTTAATCATGTTCTTTAGAACAGAGATACTTCTCAATGAAGAACTAAGAATACAACCTTTGAGTCTTTCCTTAACTGCAGAGTGCCTATGATTTGTGATCTGTGATTTCCTTCTTGAACTTTCATGTATTTCTATACTACTCTCTGTCATGTCTTGACAGTCTAGAGAAATAGTCCATCAGTTAACTGACTAGTTCGAACAGAAGGAAAAGAAACAAAAATAGAAAGATGGGGAAATTCTAATAGCCGAATTATATTGTAACTAGGATCCATATACTGTTAACTTCCACAGTTTAAACACAAGAAAAGTATACAATCAAGAAATGTTTTAGAATCACATTATAAATTCAGATACATTGGAACTAGAAACTACCTCTAATGTATTGAATACAATATTATTAGTCTCATGTACCTTTTCTATTTTTTATTTTCTTACATCAACTGCTACAAGTATTAGGGACCCCATGACAGGAAACCTTATTCTCTAATAATACCAACATTTTGCTTTATCGCCAGCCTCGGCGGAAGTATATAGAAGCTGTGGCTAACATATCTTCTTATCCCTATGTTGCAGTTTCAGGACCACTTCGCCTTTCAATTACAACAGCAGAAAACATAGGGCTGCAGTCTCAGGTTTTCTAGTACCATTTGGCCATTACTTATTTTGGTTGCAATCTTCTGTAAGAAGTGACATTTGAGTTCGCTACTGAACACTTATAGTCAGAGTAATTGATCAACATAAAAGCAGTTAAACTCTGTATTTGTGATATTTGTAGAGTTAGACTCTTTACTAAAATAAAAATTGGAAATCTTATTTCCCATAATATAGAATAGTATTAATGCTATTGCATCTGGCTACCAAAAGGTCCCTTGCAGAAGGGTAATCTTTCGGCAACAACGATTTACGTAGAACAACCAGCAATGTGGAATCACTAGAGCTTTGTTATATTTTCAGTATAACCAACTGCTGAAGAAGTTCCTTTGTACTCGTGGCAGTTAATATAACCTAAAAGCAGCCTTCAGGGTGGTGTGTCTTATGTTAGGACTGGCATACTGTTGAGCAGAACAAGAAAATGCCTTAAAGCCTGCCTCTAGTTACACTTTGACTAGATTACATTATTTGTAGCAGACATCTAAAAGACAGTAGATAAAGCATTAGAAAAATATTGTTTCTGCATTGGAATATCATGTGCATAGATAAGTCACACTGTATTATGAAATTCCTAGACTTTATAGTACTATGTTGTTAGTACTATTTTATAGCAAGAACTCATCAAAGGTGTCAGAAGTTTTTACTAACTTTTAACAAAAATCAACAAAAAATCTCAAACAATAAAAGCATCCTTAAGTCTTGTATATCTCTGTAAACCTCAGTGGACTATACTCTGTCATCAAAAAGATAATTGGCATGCTAAAATAAAGAATATGAATAATGCATTTTTTATTCAATCTGAAAATATTTTGGTGGGTTTTTTTTCCAAATTCCAGAAACACAATATTTTTCTACTATAAATTATTGTGGAATTATCCTTCAATAATGAACTAAATTTTAAAATACACAAGCTTTAACACCACTTGTGTTTCAAGGCTAGGTATTGCAGAAAATATTTTTTTTTAATGGATTTTTTTTCCTACTTATCATTTCCCTCTTTCTAGCCTCCATCCCCAGCTACAAAAAGCTCCAGCTTCTTTCATCTCATCTGAAAGATAAGCAAGGATTTTCTTTATTTGTAGAAGTACTTCAACTGAATTATGGTTTCCTCAAACACATATGTTGTATTTTCCTTTAGTATTTAAAAAATCAGGGAATCATAGAATAGTTTGGGGGGGAAGGGACCTTTAAAAAATCCCATCCAAAGAGGATGGGGACAAAAAGCATGCTACACCAGAGTTGTCTACACAGTCAGATGGGCCTACTGCCTGTGTCACCACCACACACAAAAGGAAAATTTTGCGGGTTTTGAGAATGGTGTGGCCTACAAGGCATCAGAAATCATGGCATCAAATGGGAAACACCTTTCTCAGAAGGGGAACAGGGTCTTTGCCCAGGAGATTGTGGGGCTGATTGTCAACGCTTTAAACTAGATGTGAAGGAAGAGGGAGATCATAATATCAAGATTGTCCGTGACAAGCAGCAGAATACACACGAGGGTTGGAAGGATGGGCTAGCAGTAAGGGCCTTCAACCTGTTGCCCTGAGGCATGCTGTGGACACTATGGCACAGGCAATGTCTTACAGAGATGAGCCAGGGTTTCTTGAGGTAATAGGTAGGATAGAATCCACAAAATGCCTTCTGGGAATAAAAGGGGTGTCTTATGGCTGGCAGCCCAGCTGAAGTGCCTCTACACCAATGCATGCAGCATGGTCAACAAACAGGAGGAGTTGGAAGCTACCATGCTATGGGGAAAGCTATGACATAGTGGTAATTATGGAGACTTGGTGGGATTAATCCTGTGACTGGAGTGTGGCTGTTAATGGCTACAAGCAGTTCAAAAAGGACATGAGAAGCACACAGGGTGGAGGTGTTGATCTCTACGTAAAGAAATGTATATGAATGACATAGTGAACTCATTAGGGATGTCAAGGCTGAAGGCAGCCTGAACTGCAGTGAGCATGCAGTAGGGCAGCTCATTGTCCTATGGCAAATGAGGCATATGAGAAGCATAGCCAGAACTCTAAGTTTTAGAAAAGCAAACTTCCAGCTCTTCAAGATTAGTAAATAGGACCCCGTGGGAAATGGCCCACAGAGACAAGGGAGCAGAACAAAGCTGGGAGATCTTTAAGGATGCTTTCCATAGAGTGTAAGAGATCTCAATCCCCAAGTGTAAGAAGTCAGGCAAGGAAGGCAGGAGACCAGCATGACTGAGTCAAGACCTGCTGGTCAAACTAAAAAGCAAGGTGGAAGTACACAGGCAGTGGAAGTGAGGACAGATATCCTGGGAGGAGTAAAGAGATCTTGCCCAATTGTGTAGGGTGAGGTCAGGAAGGCCAAGGCACAGCTGGAGCTGAACTTGGCAAGAGATATAAAGAAAAACAAAAGGGCTTCTACAGGTATGTAAACCAGAAAAGGAAGGTTAAAGAAGGTTAAAGAAAGTGTCCCCATCCCTCCAGTGAGCAACAATAGTGAACTAGTAACAACTGATGCAAAGAAGGGTGAGATTCTCAACAAAATTTTTGCCTCAGTCTTCACTGGCAATTTCTGTCCTCACAGCTCATAAGTTGATGGATCACAAGATGGACAACAGGAAGACATAGTCTCTCCCACCATAAATAAAGACAAGATTTGTGACCATCCCAGGAATGCAAACATGCGATAGTCCATAGGACCTGATAAGATGCACCGAAGATTCCCAAATGAACTGGGCTGATGTATTTGCCAAGCCACTCTCCATATTATTTGAAAAGTCATGGCAGTCAAGTGAGGTCCCTGGTGACTGGAAACAGGGAAACAGTGTGCCCATTTTTAGAAAGGGAAGAAAAGAGAACCCTTGGATCTAGCAACCTCTCAGCATTACCTCTATGCCTGGAAAGATCATGGAACAGATCACAGAATCACAGAATCTTAGGGGTTGGAAGGGACTTTGAAAGATCATCCAGTCCAACCTCCCATGCTAGAGCAGGATCACCTAGAGTACATCACACAGGAACTTGTCCAGAGAGGTTTTGGATGTCTCCAGCAAAGGAGATGCCACAACCTCTCTGGGCAGCCTGTTCCAGTGCTCAGTCACTCTCACAGTAAAAAAAATTTTTTGGATATTCACCTTGAACCTCCTATGCTCCAATTTACACCCATTACCCCTTGTCCTATCACTGGTCATCACTTCCATCGTCCAGACACTCCCCCTCAACATATTTGTAAACATTGATAAGGTTGCCCCTCAGTCTCCTCCAAGCTAAAGAGACCCAGCTCCCTCAGCCTTTCTTCATAAGGGAGATGTTCCACTCCCTTAATCAGCTTTGTGGCTCTGCACTGGACTCTTTCAAGTAGTTTCCTGTCCTTCTTGAACTGAGGGGTCCAGAACTGGACACAATATTCCAGATGTGGCCTCCCCAAGGCAGAATAGAGGGGAAGGAGAACCTCCCTTGACCTACTAACCAAACCCTCCGCAAGTTCACCAGTGACACCAAGCTGGCTGGTATGGTTGTTACGCCAGAGCAATGAGATGCCGTTCAGAGGGATTTGGGCAAGCTGGAGAAGTGGGTCCAGATGAGGCTCATGAGGTTCAAGAAGGCCACATGCAGGGTCTTGCACCTGGGATGGAGCAGCCAGAGATAGGAATACAAGCTGGGGGGAGACATGCTAGAGAGCAGCCCTGTGGAAAAAGACCTGGCAGTACTAGTGGATCAAAAGCTGGACAGGAGCCACCAATGTGCAATTGCAGCCCGGAAGGCCAATGACATCTTGGGCTGCATCAAGAGAAGTGTGGCCAGGAGATGAAGAGAGATGATTCTGCCCATCTACTCTGTCCTGGTGAGACCAGACCTGGAGTACCGCATCCAGCAGTGGAGTCTCCCAAAAAAGAACATGCACCTGCTGGAGAATGTGCAGAGGAGGGCAATGAAAATGATCTGGCTGGAGCACTTCTCTTATGAAGACAGTCTGAGGGAGCTGAGGGAGTTGGGGTTGTTCAGCCTGAAGAAAAGAAGACTCTGGGCAGACCTTATAGCAACCTTCTAATACCTGACAGGGACCAGGGCCTATAAGAAGGCTGGGGAAGACCTGTTCACTAGGGCATGTAATAATAGGACAAGAGTTAATGGTTTTAAGCTAGAAAAGGGTAGATTTAGGTTGGACATTGGGAAAAAGTTCTTTACTATGACTGTGGTGGATTACTGGAATGGGTTGCCTGTGGAGGCCCCATCCCTGGAGACATTTAAGCTTAGGCTTGATGGGGCTCTGATTCTTTTGGCTTGAGATATTCCATTTCATATATCTACATAAGCTCAGAGGAAGGTCAGAGATTACAGAAGACAACTTCCTTCCTGTTTCTTCTCCCCTTCTCTTCCATCACTGTCGACCACCAGGCTCAAGCTCTTCTGACCCTCATCACTCTGTGCTCTGTCTGGCAGCAGTCCGGGATTTTTCAGACTGTTCACAGCTAAGGAGAGTGCTGTGGGACTTGCTGGGAGTGGGGGGAGGCGAGAGGCTTTTGCACATATCTGAACTATTGTATTGTATCTGAATTATTGTATATCATTGTATATATTTTTTCTTTTATCATTAGTGTTTAATTAAAGCTGTGTAGTTTAGTTTTCAATCCAGCCAAGTCTCTCTCTTTTTCTCTCTCTCCTTCCCTACCTGAGTGGGAGGGGGAGGAGATTGAGAGCATTGTTGTTGAACCTGAGTCAAACATTGACATTGTGTAGAGTTCAAAATAAATCTATGACTGAGTAATATTTTTAATATCATAACTGTGTTTTCTCTAACTGAATTACCTGTTGCTGCTATGATACATTCCTCCAGCCAGTCATCCCTGATCATCTTCTTTACCTTTAGAGAAACCACTCTAATCCCAGCCTCCTCTCCTCATCTTTGTATATTTTTTTAATCCTATTTATCATCCTAATCTCTCTAGTCCTGTTTCTCCTGTCTTAGAACTCATATTGGAATGACCATTTTATCCTTCTGCAATAAAGCATTAAAGTATTATTTGTTTATGTAAAGGATTAGAAACTCTGAGGTGAATGTTATGAATGGAGTGTCAGCATATTTTGCTACTGATTAGGTGAAGATAATATCACATGGTGATTTTACCACTTCTCACTGTAAAAAGTCCCAGAAGATAAAGATGTCAGCTCTGTCCTTCTCTCACATTTCATGACAAAAAAATGACATTCCTGGCTGGGCTGGCAGTGTTGTTCTCATACCAGGTGATAACAGCACTCAGAAAAACTGAGGAGCCTCTTTGAGAAAGAGGTAGTCTCTTTGCTCCCAAAATTAGTGAAAGTGAATGCTGGGAACTGCTTCTCCAAATCCCAGTCGGATACTTTTTTAACATGACTGTATCCTACTATGTTTGAATCATTCTCTTCTCCTTATATATTTGTTTACCAGCAGAATTTTTTTTCCGAAAATCTCAGCTCCACCCTGAGGGCTGCTTGACAATACAAACTACCAATAGTAGACATCCTAGTCCCAGTTCACTGATTAACTACAAAAATGACCCTTTAGGTCTCAAATATTCAGTCTCCTTAAATTCGTAGTTTCTTTTTCCTCTTACTTTTTTTAAATTAGTTTTTATTATTTTTTTTTAAGATAGCCTCAAACTCACACAGGTATCTGGAACACAACCTGATATTGGACACCCTCTGTTCAAATTCTATGGAGACTTCTGTAATTAAAACCTAGGAAATAACAACCATAATGTTCATAGTAAGGCACAAATTTATAGAAAATTAGTTACTCAATGCATGTGAAGGCATGATGAAGACAGATGGTGAAAAACAGCTCAATATTTTAGACTGACAAAATAAGGAATTAACTTTTTTTACATTTCACAACTGAAAATATTGCTTAGATGTCTCAAATTTTCCCAGATTATACATGATCTTTACATGCTGTTTGTATGTAAAGCTAAGGACTCAGCTTTGCAGTTGATATTATTGTAAGTAATTTATATGCAATCACAGGGAAAAGAATATATATACATATTTGTGAGAAGAGGAAGAATATGAAAAAAAATTGACTAAAATTCATACAAGTAAAGCAGAGCTACATACATACTAGTCATAAAAATAAGTCTAAACTGTAGGTTCTAATTTAAATTACTCTATATAACCTATTTTTTAATCCATAGGAATTGTGGAATTTTTTTCTTCATTTCTGTTACAAAATCACAGAAGGATCACAGGTGGAAAAGACCTCTAAGATCACTGAGTCCAACTGTCCGACGAGAGGGGCAAAAACCCACACACACATAAAAAGGAAAAACAACAACCACACATCCCACAAAACCAGTGTGATTACCTGCAGAGATGTCACTTGGTGTTTTTCCTGGTTTATGAAGACTGATTTTCACTTTCCCGTTACTGAGATATAAGAAGAAACCACCTGAATCCCGGTGCAGTTTATTAGATAATAGAAGTCCCTGCTTGTTCCAGGTACGAAACTGGAATCTGATGAATATTTCATTTTGCCCTGATGTGCCCGGCAGAGCCAGATAACTATGGGAGCTCAGAAATGTAACAGGAACCACCTGTGGCTCTAAACATGAGAATGACATGTTTCCCTAGAAAGAAGTGAAACAAATACAATATTAGGAACATCTGAGGGAAAACAGTCATAAGAACTATTTCTATGGAAGTTTCAGATTTTCAAAACATTATGCATAGAACCTAATATTTGTAACACTTAATGCGTTAATCTAAAAATACAGTGTGAATATGTAAGAACATCATCAATTTAAGATATATTTACCTACTTATTTGATCAGAACAGACATAACTGCCTTAGTGAAGAGTGACAAGGACCTTAAAGTGAATGAGTTAAGACCCTAAATTACATGGGTGATTTAATGACACTTCAGCAATTAAACAGACCTGCTTTGCTTCTATTTTGGCTAAGCCTCAATAAGCATTAGGGACTTGACAAATTTTTGAATATCAGTTTAACATGCCACTGAATACAAAGTTTGCTACAAATATTTACACAGATGTTAGTGTTTGTTTGTAGAGAAAAAAATATTTAGCTTGGCTACTGACTGCTTAAGGCAGTGTTAATTTTGAGGGGAAAAAAAAAAAACAAACCACAAAAAAAAACCCAAATAAAAAGAAAAAAAAAAAAAACAAAAAAAACCCCACAAAACAAACAAACAACAAAAACACAAACAAACCAAACAAAACAATCAAACAACAAAGAAAAAAAACAAACCATTTGGATGGACTAAGAACAGTATTTCCAAATCAATGGAGATATGCACTGACACCAATATTTGTTTCCACTAACAGTCAGAGAAAATTCTGTATATAAACTATTGCTACTTGCAAATGTGAAACACTTCATAAATGAGAAGGAAATGTATTTTCAAGCATGTCCATACAGACCAGATTGTGAGTTGTATAGAGGCACCTAGCCTTTATTTTGTGCTTGACTGCTTATGATATCACTTTTGCTTAGGTACATTAGGTACATACATACATTTGCTGATAAATTCATTGATAAATTCTGAGCTTAAGCTGCATCTGTGATTGTACTCTGTGATATGGATAAGAAGACTGGAGTAGGAGCAACATTTTTTTGCATCTGATGTCAGAGTTAGGTAACATTTTATGACCCTTTGTAGCGATACAATATGCACTTTGATCTGATTACTTTCTGGAAACATTTGAAGTACAGTTAATTTGTTCTGTATAAATGAATACTACAAGACATCTTTAGAATTTAAAGTATACTTGACTTCTGTTCAACATAAAGATTTTTTTTTTTAAATTCTGAACATGTATAAAACTTTGACTTTATAGTAAAAACATAAAAAAATCAATTTAACAAAAATACATTCTAGCCTTTGGCATGGCAAGATATTAAAGTTTGTCTGATTCAATCTTATTCAAGGAAAATAGATAACTAAATAAAAGCTCTGTGTTACAAATGCAGCTGTACAGAAATGAATATTGCCATTTCCCCAACATCCATCAGCATCATGAATAAGATATTAAATGGAGATATCAGTTTAGTTAATTCTGGAATATTTCAGATAAACCTCACAAGACAAGATGCCAGTCATACATTTAATCTGAGACAGAGGACCCAATGTGATTGTTTATATTCTCAATTTAAATCTCAATCAAAAGATTTAGAGCTTGAAACGTCTCATATTTTGTTAATTATTTTGAATTTACTGTTTCCATCATATCTCTGCATTTCCTGATTTTAAATAAATAAATACTGCAAATAGAAATGGCTCTACTACTGGAAAAACAACAACAAAAAAGTTCTTTGCAAAATTAATACAAACTTTCTTAACATAGAAGAAAGTGGGTTTGTTTTTGTAACTGTATCACTGTTGTCAGTGTCACAAAAATTACATTAAACTCACCAACCTAAATTTGAGCTATTCATATAAAAGGCAGTATAAACTGACGAACAGAACTTATCTATCAAAACTATAATGCTCTGCAGAAAAGAGAGTGGATCAGTGTCCTCAGCAATAGAAGGCTTTTAAAATGTACTGCTGGTGTTCTTACTAGTCTGACACAGAAGTCAAAGTCAGAGCTTTGGTGATTTCAGATCATGCCTGATTAGGTGATTCCTTGGCTTTTCAACATAGCTTTTTACTGGAAGAATATGCTAACAGGTAGCATAT